AGAGAGAGAGAGAGAGAGAGAGAGAGAGAGAGAGAGAGAGAAAGTTGTGTGTTGGCTTGTTCTTGAAGCTTAAGGAGAGGTTCTGGAGAGTTTTCTGGAGGTTTCTGTGGCTGTTCTTTGGTGTTTTAGCAAGAGTGAGTCACTTAGTGCTCTAAAAACTTGTGGATAAAGTTTGTTGAGTGATTCAACAACCTTTATTCGTTTATTGATCGAGTGAGTCGATTAGCCCATGTACCACCCCTTGATTCACGAGATAGTTCTTCAGAATCAGCTCGTGAATTCTACCTTCCGCAAGTTAAGTCTAGAATATCTTGACTCTTGTGTAATCTAAAATTGTAGTTATTCCAATCATGTATCACAAACCCCAAACGAGTGTGAGGTTATAAGGACTCACAATGTCATGGGGTGACTATCTTGGTGCGCAAAGAGCACGTTAAGATATGTTAATGGGGGTGAATTGTGTCACCCTGGTTTCAGGAAATGCAGGAAAGATTTAAAATAATTGATTTTATCACTATGTCACCAATGTGGACTTATCTTTATGGTCTAATGTCCTCAGAGAACTCCACAATTAAGTGTACTTCGAGAATGTGATTATGGAGCTGTATGAGTAAAGACAAAACACATGAAATCATCATGTGGTGATTTGTAGGGTTGATAAATAATTCTTTAAATCGATCGTCGGATATAGTGGGCTCACGGGCATAGTGAGATGATGTGGGTCCCATCATGAAAGGTGGTCCATGGATCGGGAGTGGAGATGTTGTCCACTTACGAAGATGGCGGTCATGGCATTACGACTTGTGTCGAGGTGGAGATCGACACAAAGAAGGGTGCCTATCGATATCAAGTTCGACTAGGAGTTATCAATTTCTTGTTTGTCTAGTTTGATTTGTTTGATTGTTTTGTACTTTTGTTTAAGTGTTGTATTGTTTTACGTAGCTTGTGTGTATAATCTATTATTATGAGGAGCACTATTATTTGTGATAATACTCATGAATCTCTTTTATGTTGTATTGCAGGCATATATAAGATATGGTCGTGGAATTGTGAGGATGATGAGAAGGATTATCTAGGATCGAGTTAATAGGGAAACTTTTATGTTATTTGATATTTGTTGGAACCTGGATTAAGCATATTTAAGAATGTTGCTTTATTGGTTTTTGGTTATTAGGTTTTTATCCGTTTATGATAACTACTCTAATTAGTATTTCTAGTTTAACTGTTATGTTTCACTGGTTGATGCATGTTTAATTTGGATTAGTTAGCTAATAAATACGAGATTATTATTTAATAAATTGGGCCGGGTCTTTGAAAAAAAAATCTATTCATTTTTTCTATAAAAGATAACATTTTATTTTCAATTTTCATTGATAAATATAATACCTATACGATTTTAAAGAATTTTCTTTTCTCCTAATTTATTATTTTTATTTTATTTTTATGCATTAATTTATATTAATTTTGAATAAGTTTTGCATTATTTTTTTATTGGTTGAATTTTTCAATGATATAATATTTTTTATATTATATTCGTATTTTTACAAAACTCTTATATTATACGACATAGAGAGTATATATTATAATTTAATTTAATTTATTTTAATTTGATTTATTATTTAATAATTATAAGATTATATATATATATATATATTATTTTTAAATTTTTATTTTATTTTATCAACTTTCATTTGGTGGTTATTAATTTAAACATAAAGGATTTTAATTAAAGCTTACTTTATTTAATTTCATAATGAAAGATATAATAAGTTTATTATTATAAATATTTCACCAAACTTATTTAAAGAAAGTAATATATCGACAAATTTTATTCAAAAAAATCTTTTATATTTCCAATTATCCCATAAATTAATATAAGCTTGATTCTGTCTTTTTTTTTTCTAATGGACATGGTTAACGTTTTGCTGAATCATTATGGATACAATAATTGTTACTTTTCTTCATTTTCTGTAATCATCTTTGCATCATTATTGGTTTCGGATTTAATATTAATTTTTGTTGGGACAAACCCCAAAAAAAGACAATTAATAAAGGACGAAACGTTATCTCAAGATGTGTCATATCATTTTTGTTATTTCAACCCCAAAAATAAAAATAAAGGACAGAGAAAAAAGAGCTTTTTATTTTATTAATTTGTTGGCATTTCCTCTTCTTGCAAAGATCTAAGATAGCACAGCTCCTGGAGTGACACGTGTTGGACGTAGTTGTCGATTCATCATAACTATTAACTAATCTAATCTAAACTTATTATGGAAACATCACCTTCACACTCACTCGCTAGTCGCTAAACATATCCCAAATAGCTAAATCTAGTAATTTATATTATGTTAAGAAAATTATTTACATTACAGTTATTTGATTATATATTAGAATTAGGAGGGAAGTATAACTAAATTTCTTTGAAAAGTACAAAACATATCTTCATAATTAACACATCTTCATAATTAGGAAGTAGGCAAAAAACCATAATTTAAGAAACCAAACAAAATAAAAGTAAATGATTTGGTGTTATAGTTGGTTATGATTTATCTTAAAACTCTAATTGGTAGTAATTTTTACTTAATTTTTGGTTTAGGATTGATTTTAAAACCGTAAAGCCGAATGATAACTTTTTAGTGTTTGATGAAAATATAGGATAATTATATATAATTATATTTTTTTAATATAATGGTTTTCTTTGTTAGGTTCATAATTATTATTTTTCTTAAATATTTGGATTTACGAAACTAGATTTGAATTATACTCTTTGAGTTATGTTTATCTTTCTTACTTCTATTTTAATTTTACTTTTATTTATGTAACAAAGTTATATAATTTATTTTTATGAACATTGACTTACCTTATTCAAACTAAAATACATATAATTATATATATATATATATATATATATATTTTATAACTGATAAACTATATAACTGAAAACATGAATTGCATCCAACCCGAATTATATACAGTTTTATATAATATCCATTTTTTGTAAAACCGAAGATAGTAAAACTAAACCGAAATCAAACCCAAAAACCATACAATTAGGTTTTAACCTACGTTACATGGAATCGCCGGAGATGTGTCGCTTCTCGCTTCAGAACCGGAAACGGGAGCGGAATCGTTCGGAATCGCTTGGAATCGCGCTTCTGAAAATGAGTCTTTTGGAATCGTGTGGAAGCGTAAGCTTCCGAGTAGGAAGCGTGGAGGAGGAGATTGGAAGCGTCGCGGCAAAATTTTAGATTTAGTTAGATCTTAGATTTTTATGTCTGATTTTGGTTAATATCAAATAACATACTTAGATTTAGCAAAATAATGTATAAAATAAAAGTGAATGAAGAAAACTGTGAAAAAAATAAAAACAGTCGCTCTCTGTAGTTTAGGGTTTTGAAAAAAGGTTGGGATCTTTATTGTTTAATATAAAATTTTAATTAAAAAAAAAACTATGTTGATCGAACTCATGTCCTTGCTAAGAGTCACAAATCAACTAACCACTGTACCACCTTACATCATTATATAAATGACAAAACTAAACAATCTATTATATATTTATAAATATGACTTTTATAATCATCATATTAGATATTTGATATTATATATATTTATATGTATTTACGCTTCCAACACGTACCCGCTTCCTAAATTTTTGAAAAAACTCGATTCCACGTTTCCAAACGCTTCCGCTTCCGCGTACCCGCTTCCGATTCCATGCAGCTTAGGTTTTAACAAATTCCATTGTAACTCAAAATGGCAATAATCCTTATATTAAAAGGATGGGTTTAAACTTTAAACAAATTTAAAAGTAAAATTAGTATAAGGTTTAAACATAAAGGCTACTTACTCATTTAAGACTATGAAGAGTCATAAATACTAATGTAAGAAAGAAAAAAAGCAAGAAATTAAATAAAACAAAGACACGTGCTATTGCTTCTCCTCCTCCTCCTCCTCCTCCTCCGCATCACCGGATTTTCCTCTTCCTCCCCCGTGAAAACTGCTAACCCTAAATTCTCTCTCTCCACTTCTCTCCAAATCTTTTTTCCAATTTTTATCTTTGAAAAAAGAAAAAAATCTTCCATTGATGTCTTCTTCTTCTTCTTCTTCTTCTTCTACTCTCTTAAAAAACCTTCAATTCCATCTTCTCTCTCTCTGGGTCTGTGAGTCAACACAAATCTAGATCAAAGTTTGAATTTTTGAACTTTTCTTTATTATTGGCTTCTCAAAATAAATAAATAACGCTTTTTTAATTTATTATAAACTTGGTTCTGCATCTGTGTTTCCCCCTTTGTGTTCTGTTTTTCTTTTCTCAACATAATCGAATTCAAAACAGAGCAAAGTTTGTAATTTTCCTGGAAAAGTTTCGTTTTTTCCGGTTTCTTGATTCGTATAAAGAACAGGGTATCTCTCAGAATCTGTGGATTCATTGTTTTTTTTCCTCCCGGAGAAGTCTCGTTACCTTTGGCTATAATGGGGGCGGTGACGTCATCAATGGCGGCGAAGTTCGCGTTCTTCCCGCCAAATCCGCCGTCGTATGGCGTAGAGGTTGTAGGAGGGGAGCTGAAGCTGATTGGTGTAGAGAACGTGAAGGAGAACGTTGAAGTATTGAAGCTGAAAACGAAGAGAGGAAATCAGGTGGTTGCGGCGTATATTAAGAACCCTACAGCCTCACTTACGCTGTTGTATTCTCATGGTAACGCAGCCGATCTTGGTCAGATGTTTGAGCTTTTCTCTGAGCTCAGCCTTCATCTTCGTGTCAACTTAATTGGGTAATTTAGTTTTACTCTTCTTGCTTTGAATTGGTTGGTTGAGACATATTTGAAGGTGTTTCATGGATTAGGACAAGTTTTTTGTTTTGTCGGTTTAAAAAGTAGTGGAGAGTCATTAGTAATTGAGAAAGAATGGTAATGGATCTGTTGTGATTTGGCGAGTTTGCATTACTTTCCTCATTAGAGTATTGCTCTTCTAGTACTACATTTGCATGTCATGTCAACTAGAACATGATCTGACTTATTACATCAGATATAAATGGGTTCTGTTGGATTGGTTTCTGCAATATTTGGGCTTCGGAGGCAGTTTGAACTTGTTCTCACGGATTAGGATTTAGGACAAGTTTTTGGTTTCTTGGTTAGTTTCTGTGCTTCTTGACGTTGTAGATGGCTAAAAAGTAAAGGAAACTCATAAGTAACTGAGAATGTATGTATGAATGGATTAGGACAAGATTTTTTGTTTTGTCGGTTTGAAAAATAATGGAGAATCATTAGTAATTGAGAAAGAATCATAAGTAGGATACTAGGATCCATAGGATTGGTTTCTGCAATATTTGGCTTTTTGTAGATATTGAAGTTATTCTCACGGATTAGGATTTAAGACAAGTTTTTGGTTTCTTGGTTAGTGTCTGTGCATCTTGAGGCTGTAGATGACGAAAAAGTAGAGGAGTATCATGAGTGATTGAGAATGTATATCTTAGATCAGACATAAGTGAGATCCATTGTATGAATATTGATTTGTTTATTTGATTGTGTTTATGATTCAGGTATGATTATTCAGGTTATGGGAGGTCTTCAGGGAAGGTATGATTCATTGTATTTGATAAATCTATCAAACTTCTCAAAATGATGTATATAATGTTACTCTGGTGTTTCTCCCAACAGCCTAGTGAACAGAACACGTATTGCGATATAGAAGCGGTATATAGATGTTTGGAGGAGAAATATGGTGTGAAGGAACAAGACGTTATCTTATATGGACAATCTGTAGGAAGCGGTCCGACTTTAGAATTAGCTTCTCGGTTACCAAACCTACGAGCTGTTGTTCTTCATAGTGCTATTGCATCCGGTCTTAGAGTCATGTACCCTGTCAAACGAACTTACTGGTTTGACATTTACAAGGCAATATTACAATCTCATTGTCCGCTTTTTTTTTTCGTGTTTGCGGGTATTACTACTGTTCTAATATGTTTTTGCGATTGCAGAATATCGAGAAGATATCTTTTGTCAAATGTCCGGTTTTGGTAATTCACGTGCGTATCATCTCATGTTCGTTTCGGTTTTTCTTTCCTTTCAAAGTTGTTTCATTATTTACCAAGGCTTTCGGGTGTGTTTGTGCAGGGAACATCAGATGATGTTGTTAATTGGTCTCATGGGAAGCAATTGTTTGATCTGTGTAAAGAAAAATATGAACCACTCTGGATCAAAGGAGGAAACCACTGTGACTTAGAGCTATACCCGCAATACATAAAACATCTAAGGAAATTTGTGTCGGCAATTGAAAAATCACCTCATCTTAGAAACGGACCAGTGCCACCAACTGAGAAGGCGAGGAGCAGTACGGATATTAGAGAACCTGCAAGACCAAGCACAGATCAAAGAGAGAAATCAAGAACAAGTATGGATCAAAGAGAAATGCCAAAGCTGAGTACAGATAAAGCGAGGCCTAGTGTTGACAAGAGAGAGAGAACGAGAAAAAGTGTTGACGGGTCTCAGAAACCGAGTAATTCCGCAGAACAGCAACTACTACAACCAGAGAAAGGGAGGAATAGCATTGACAGGTAAAAAACAGTTTGTCAGATTTATATGATTTTATCATATGATGATGGTGATGGTTATATGATGACTGATCACCTTGACGACAGGTTTGGGGAGATGATAAGATCAGTAGGATTTTGCAACATAGACTGTTTCAAGCCTACAACAACAGCTAAGTGAGGTGAGAGAAGAAACATGAAACACACATAGACACTCACTCAAATATGGATTCAAAACATCTAATTATAATTGTTTGTTATCTCTTTCCACTTACTTCGTCTTGTGTTTTGGAATTTAACAAGTCCTGCTGAATTCAAAAGCTTGATTTTGTTATCATGAAGTATGAAACAACAGATCAGAATATGCATAGGTTATGACTCGCATATACCATAAGGATCATCTAGTGCCAAGGCTCACGCAAAGTGCGGTTTTTAAAACTAAGATCTACACTAGTTGAAGCAATTGTAATATGATGCATCTAATTTAGAAAGAGTCATGAAAGAAAGAAACTATGAATCTGCATTACATTTTATACATAGTTTCTACAAACATCACTCAAGGTGGTATATGTATATATAACCAGAAGCACGCAAAAGTCCGCTTTGGAAGAACACTCAACAACAATGGTACAAACATATAGAGAAGAGAAGTATTGTCTTCTTCATTATTTGATTATCACATAGAAGAAAAAGCAATTGCTTCTTTTCTATTTCTTCATCCAGAAACACCCAATTACACAAGTTTCTCAGCCAAGTTTACTCACGAGGTGCGTTCTTCTTGAATAACGCATAAGCATCGCTGTAAATGGCGATTGCATTGGACAATACCGCAAGAACGATCATGAAAATGGCTAAGGTCGTGTCCCGCCTTGTTGCTTTGCTATGGCGATCCCTGCAACAACATAAAAAAAAATGAAAATGAATAACCAAAAAACAAATCTGCTTAGGATTGTTCGTAGATGTATATGAAGAATCAACTTACTTTAATATAATAGAAGCTGGGAAGATGAAGCCGAGACAAACGGCTGCAGTTGCTCCAGTGAACTGGAAAGCATCCCAAATGCTCGGGATGAAGTTTGCACCCATGAAGATTACAGAAATGAGACCGGCAGTGAGGCAACCGAACCTCACATTTGAGGTAGTTAACGATCGAGCAGAAGGGAACAAGAGCCCGTCAATGTTAATCCGCAGAGGGTAGAAAACAATTGGGAATACAAGCATCAGGTGAAGCGCATAGCTAACTCGAACCGCATCATTGAGGATAGAACCAAAAGGGATTCCAAGATCGGTGTCAAAGTTTGCAAGGACATCATCGAGAGTATCATCGCCAAACAAGAGAAACCCGAAAATACTTGTCATTATGTAAACAGATGAGCAAAGCATAAGTGCTGATCGGACAACAGGTCTTATCTGAGTAGGGTCTTCCAGCTCGTTCTGTATGCTGTGAACTGCAACAAATCAAGCAAACCAAACACATGATTTTTTTTTTTAATTCATTCATTAAAGCTATACTTTCAAGTTAAGAACTCTCATACATACCATTGTAATGGCAAATGAACGCGGTAACAAGAACAGGCACAACTGTGAATAGATTCCAAAAGGATGTTAAATCGGTAACATCTGGTAGCAATCTTGGCATCGCCACACCACCACTAATCAACTTCATAATCGAAATTCCCGCTGTAATGATGAGAAACACAACCGCCAAAGCCACAGATAAGGCAGATGTAAACTTCAAAGAATCTGCAAAGAAAAGCATAATAATACATCAGACAATTTAGGAGTCTCTGATCAGACAATTCGTGTTAGAACTCAAAACACTAACCAATTCGTTTGAAGCAAGCCAATGGAGCAAACACACACAGAGTTGTAATAAGAAGAATAGCAGCTCTTCCGTTCCACCAATGATGACCGAACCATCCTTCAAGAACACCGAAATGATGGATTCCATCTTCTGTCTTACCAGCCAACACATCACCTACAAAACACACAAAAAAAGATTCAACAACAAAGTAACAAATCATCATCAGAATCTCAAAAGATTGATAGTTACAATACCAATGATGATCATGTAAACGATCAAAACACCGATGTTGTTAACTAAAACAGCGACTTGAAGCAAAATCCTTCCAGGATTACCAAAAGAACCACCCATCAAACCACCATAAGTACGATTCTTGCCAACTTTACTAAACCTAAGCAAGAACTCAATGGATGCATCAGTCAAGAAAGCCATAACAACAATCATAGTGATTCCAAGTACAAGACCAAGTATCTTCATCGTAGCAGGCAAAGCCATGATACCAGCACCAATCACAGTAGTAGAAAGATTAAACACAGCTCCACTAAACGAAGCTCCATTAAATTCATCATAAGCAACTTCATCTCCTTGTGACTTTGGTAATAACGGAGCAACGATTTCATCAGATGATGAACCGTTCCTCTTTGGTATCGGAGTAACATCTTCAATCGTCATCTTCTTCTATTCAACAAGCTGTCAACATTTAAATTAGACAAAACAAATCTTCAGACAATATTAAAAAAACAAACTTTTCAATAACCATTGATGCAAACGAACCTTAAACAGAGACGAGGTTTGATTCAACTGATTACGCAAGTATGAATCAAAAGTTATAAAATTGATTCAAACCCAGTTGAATTTGATCAAAACTGAATTGACCCAGGAAATGGAATTTGAGTTTTAAGCTGACAAAATTGAAATTTGACTTTTATTTTGTGGATAAAGAATTTGAACTTTGATTCAAAACTTACATCAAAAAGACCTAAAATTGATTGAAACCCAGTTGAAATCGTCTTGGATTTTGATTGAATCAGACACCAAAGTAGAAGATTAGAGAGAAGATTTGAGGGGAAAAAGATTTGGGGGATGATGGGAAATTATAGGCCACACGAATTTGGTTTTGCTGACGATGCAAATGATGTTTTGTCTATACGAAACTCTTGTAATAATCTTTTAAAAGAAAATTTTGTTTGTTATTGGTTAATGAGAAACGTGTTTAACAGGAAGTGGTGATAAATTAAAAATATTTGTTGTTAAATTTTTTGTTTACTGTATATTATGGTGACGATTTGTTTTGAGTTTTGACTCTTAGGTGGTGCTGATTGGATTTGGGTGAGAATCGACGCAGTTTTGAAGATTCAGTGAACTCGTATTTAATATGGTTGAAAAGTATATAATAGTGAAGAATTAATGGTGTTAAAATGCTGTCCAAAAATAAAATAATAAAAGAAGAGAGTTGTATTTTGAGATTCAAGAGTTTAAAAAACTATGTAATTGAGTGTATACGTCAAAATTAGAAAACAGAAGGAGTGAGATAGAGTATAAAGTTTGTATTTTTATGAGGCATGCATTTTCAGGATGTTTAAGAGTTCACTACAAGTTTAGGAAGAAGTATTATGTATGTGATAGTTAATAACTTACACTTCGAATGGAAAGAGCGTATCAAACATAGCAGTCGAATGGGAAGAGCGTATCAAACATAGCAGATCAAGCAGATTACGAACAAAACGAAAGTAAATCAAGCAGATCAATCAGAACAAATGCAGATCAAGTGGTTCGAATGCTTCAAAATATATATATATATATATATATATATATAAATATATATATTTGTTTTTTATATTCATTAATATTAAATATAAATAAAAATAAAAGACAAAAACTCAACACATACACTCATAAATGGGGGAAAACAGGGAAAATTAACCCAAACTATTCTCCGAAGATATTTTCAAACCCAAACTCGCGTACTCTGAATTTTACAACCCAAACCAGCTTTCAATGTAAATAACCAACCTGAACCATATCAAATTTTGTTGATTTCAACCTTGACGTTAACAGTAACCTTGCCCATCTTGAAGATTTGGACAATCAAGCTTAAGCTTATGTAAAAACCAAGTCTAGTTTTTACAGAAGTTTAAGCTTGATTGTCCAAATCTTCAAGATGGGCAGGGATATTGTTAACGTCGAGGTTGAAATCGACAAAAATTGATGTGGTTCAGGTTGGTTATATGAATTGAAAGCTGGTTTGGGTTGTAAAATTTAGAGTACGTGAGTTAGAGTATGAAAATACCTTCGGGAAATAGTTTGGGTAGATTTTCCTCGTTTTCCCCTCCTAAATGGTTATGGGTGGACTGCTCTGTTTATTACAAAAAAAAAACATGAAAAAATATATCCCATTTCTTTTATAACAGTTCAGAAAAACAGTTAAAAAGCAGTTCATTTGCTAAATATTTTTTTTGTTTGAATACGAACATAAAAGCAAATTTTCTACTTTAGCTGATTAACTACTTTTGTATTGTTCTCTATTCATACCCTTAATATATACGATGTAGTACTGCAAAGACAGAATTCATAAATCATGTTTTTTTTGAATGTTCTGGGTAATCTAAACACATATTTAGTTACCTAGCGAACTTGCTTCTAAGTATGACTTTATGTTTTGGTAATTGTCTAAAGAGGTTTCAAATGATGGAGGCAAAGATTTATGTAGTTCTAAAGGTTTATTAAGAAAAGTTATAATGAAATATTAGTTTGAGATATTATTCGAGAGCTTTTTGATATTATTGTTTTATGAAGCTGTGAAGTTTTATTCACTCGACGAGAGTTTTGTTTTAGTATCCGCTAAATTATGAAAGAATAAAATGTGATACCAGCCTAGAGAATAAAGTTTGGTCGTTTGATAATTATATTGTAACTAAGGTGGAGGGCACAATCGTTGCATTGGTTTTCGAGCTTTTCTCTCCCGTGGGCGATTTTTACATCTGTTTTTTCATTTTTCCGATCAGTTCTTCATCGTTGGTCATAGCCAATCAAAGGTGATCCAAGAGTGAGCTGCTCCTCTTCTCTGTCCATTGTTGTGTGGATTTCTCCATCGATGTGGTCATGGCCTTGGGTGTGCGGTTGGGGTTCTTTGTAGCGGTGGTTACCATTATATAGTTGCGTCTACGGGAGAAGTTGGTGGGGAATTGGAAGGATGCACGTTTTTACGAGAGGGTTAACGGTAGATATGGTTGATGCCGACACTTGGTTTTGTTTGGTTTGAGACGCCACTATTTGTCTCTACCGTGTTTGGCATCCCCCCGTGCAGATCGAGGATGAGTTTGCTCGAATCTTGGTGAGCTCTAGTTAAGGGAGGAAAATATTAGATATGAGTGTGTCGACTTGCTAGGTCATGACTTGACACTGCAAAACCGTGTTGTCGGGGAGACTTGTGGCGGGTCTTGTGCGATGGAGGAAAGAGGCCACTGACATAAACCGATCTCTTTTGTTTCCGGTTTTCTATCCTTTGCTATGGCCGAAAAGTTGTGACTCTTGAGC